TCACTAACACCAACACTGCCATTACCATCATCACCAACACTGCCATCATCACCAACATTGCCACCAACACCAACACTGCCACCATAATCACCACCATCATCACTAACACCAACACTGCCATTACCATCATCACAAACACTGCCATCATTATAAACATCATCATCATCTGTATCACCACCACTTTCAATATATCACATCTCCACCATCATCAGCAACACTCTCATGAATACTACCATCATCAAACTAACACTATATATACCAATACCATCATCATCATACTGTACTGTTCTGTTTTTGTAGTGATTCAGAGAAACGTTCATCAGCTGACCAAGCATTTCGGGAAATTCTAATGACAAAACTGGTGAGGTTTTTATTTTGCCTGAAAAGCTGACAAGATTGATATATGACAATACTCTTAATATTATTGAATTCAGAAATTGTTTTAAACACTATAATAATGCGTTGTTTGTACTAGCTAAACTAAGTCACACAACTATATACAAAACTGTCCAGTAATATCCTTAACACAAATTTTATTCTCTTTTAACAAGACTGTTGATAAAGATTGGTTGGTTTGTGATCGTTTGGTCCACAGTGCAATAGACTGCTCTAAAAATGGTATGGTTTCAATTTCATCCTAGGGCTTTAGCAGTTTGTCAGTATTAGATGGATGGTTAGGTAATGAGCACCACTTACTCTTGTCTGAATATAATTTACCTCAAACTTATGTGAGATGAGTGCTTCCAATTTGATTCTTCAGAACAACACAGATTTTCTCAAGTCCATTTAGGAACACAGAGCAGTTGGTTAGAGCACTGTACCAGAATTGCAGGGCTGTAGGTTCAATTCCTACCAGAGGACCTTGTGCTGCATTTTTCGCAGTCGTTCCTGGTTAGGTCTTAAAATGTATATATTCGCACTTGGATTACAAACCCTAACAATCCAATAAGGGACGGTCCTTAATGGAGAACAGTATAGAGAAGAAGTTCAGTTTATATTATTGCAAGAACATTTCTATCCAGTTTTGCAAAAATATCCATATTTAGTTATTTACCATCTATATGGTATTCTTTGGCCATAGGTACCACCTCAGTAGCCTTACCCATTACCTTGATGTCAGACATGTTTGATTGTATCACACTGGACGTTTGTGAAGAGTTGTTTCATATTGTAGAGAAACACGTAGCAACGTGGGCATCTGTAAGTACAATTGAATTCTTTTTTATTGAATAGTCAACTAGTTAATGCCTAACAAGTTTTTGTTGTCATTATTGAATTTGAAATTTCTTCTATTGCCATAGGAACCTTTCTTCACAGCGGGAAAAAACTTACTGCTGCGGATGTGTAATGGTAGGTGCAGAACTGTTTGAGACTTGACGAGCTCAGTTATATGAGTACACGAGATTTTGGTATATATATGAGCTTGCTCATGAGCATACCAGATTTTGGTATAAAGAAATACCAGACTGTAGTATTGGTGTATCTCCAGTACGTAAGTACGCAAATTTTCGTACCTGACTAATTTTATTTAATCATCGAAGCATGATGTCATTTCTACTTTAGATTTACTACGCCGCTTATCAACGTCACAGAACACTGTGTTTTGCGGACGGATACAATTGATTCTAACACGACTGTTTCCTTTATCAGAGAAGTCAGGTACATTGTGAGCGACAGTGTTTTAAGACTGGTTTGCATTATCAAACCTTCTGTGATCACGGTAACAAAGTTTGCTTAGGTAAAAATTCTAAGTTTGAGGGGACTGATTCAGTGTTAAACAATGATTCATTTCCTTCAAACATTTCTTACAAATCCTTCAAAAATTTACCGATGCAAAATTCCTACTGTGATCACAGAAACTTTGATAGTGTAAACCAGACTTAATACACTCTTTCGGTAATTACGTCACAACTACACTGTTTTCAACTTAGGACCACCTTAAATGGAAAGGATTTCAAGTTTGTTTTTTCTCATGGGCTATGCACAGAGAAGCAGAACATCGTTCTTTAACACATGCATGAAAAATAATTCTTTATTTTGACCAATAAATGTGGAAATAAGCTTTAACACGAAAACGAGGCTCTAGGTCATGACTTGGAGCCTCGTTTTCGTGTTAATACTTGTTGCCATATTTATTGATCAAAATCCAAAAATTTTTTCATGCTTGTGTTGAAGATGGATGTTCTGCTTCTCTGTGGATAGCCCATGAGAAAAAAACTTGAAATCCTTTCCATTTAAGGTGGTCCTAAGTTGAAAACAGTGTAGTTATGACGTAATTATCGAAAGGGTGTATTGACATGTTTGAGCATTTTAAATTTCTGTAGATTGAAAGAAATACGGTTTCTCATCTCTAGTTTGCTATTTATGTAATTATGTATAGGTTTAAATCTCATGAGTCAATTCAATGTGGAAAATGTGACGAAGTTTGACTACAAAGGAAGTTCGAGTAAGGTGAGCGAAAAAAATAACCGTTGATGTTTCAATGGACATACCAGATTTTTTGAAAACTCAAAAATATTCTGGGGGCAATGGTCCCCATAGTACGATACCTCCTTCACCTTTGGCTGTCACCAATCGAAAACTGATTCACATTATTATTTTTCAAGGAGAAAAGTAACTCAAAGAAAGAAGTTACTGATAGGTATATATTTGAAACGATTTTCCACGACTTGACTTTAAAAGCGTTTTCCGTAATTGTACCTCAGTTTGAACGTAATGCTTTTCCTTTTGTATAGTGAAGTTGTGGATTATGTCCTGTACACAAAATTCTGGTCCTTGCAAGATTTCTTTCGAAGTCCTACGCAGTGCTATCATGATTTAAACTGGAAAAAATTTGTAGATGTAAGTAAATTCAACGACCAATTTGAGAAAGCTTGAAAAAATTGCTATTATTAAAATTATCATGATTATTAAAAAAAATCGATATTTCAAAATTATCATGCATATTACGTTGCCCAACACAACATTTGTCATTAAGGCCCTACAAGTATTTCCACTCAGGAAAATTTTCCTCAGAAAGAAAATTTTGTAGAATTGGATTGGCCGACACAAATTTTCGGAAAATTTCCGTGGAAAAAAATTTCTTTGTCAAACCCAAAGCTTCAAGAGTTCAAACCCAAGATTTTGTCCTAAATGTTTTATCGATGTCGGTAACTACTGATATATTGGCAAATAAACTCCTATATCGTGTCGGTAAGTTGGATATTTTGTTATAATGGCTCATGTCTGTATACTTATCGTCCTCGCTGTCATCATAGACATTGCAGAAGACATTCTGGATTGTCTGTGGTATCATCAAACTTGTCGTGTTGAAATTTTCAGAATGCCTCAGCAGTCCTGGCGGCGTTCAGCAGTCATAAACTGGAACACGTCTCGAAGAAACGAAAACATAGCGAACACAAGAGTGTTGTCACGAGGTATAGATGATTTATCAAATTTTATGTTTTTGTCCTTGCGACCCAGCAAGATTAACAGCTTGCTTGATAATGGTAACTAGACTGAGTAGAGTACCAGTTTGCCATTTAGAAGTTTGAATTCAGACCAAAATTGCACAACACTTCACTATGCACATTATGAAATTTAAAACATTTCCTCGCGGTTTTATTGCAGTGATGGTGCAGATCAACAAAGATATTTCGCCAAATTCTTGACGAGTGAAAAGGTGCGTAGAGGCTATATATGCTAGCTAGAGGCAAATCGTAATTTGATCTTGGCTGCTGTAGATTTTATTTGTGTTGACGTAGCCAAGGGTTTTTAGAGTTGTTAGTGGGGCTTCGGTGGCGAAGTGGTCAGCGCACTTGCTTTCACCCCTAAGATCACACGTTCGAGTCTCAGTGAGAACTTTCTCAACGCGACTTGAATCCAGTCTTCATATGGAGAGAGTCAGTCAACGCTCTGCCGAAAATCGTGCGTTTTCTCTGGGTACTCCGGTTTCCTCCCACAGGGAAAGTTGACAGGGTGGGTTAGGTAAAAGGGCCCACAGCAATTGGCATATGCTGTTGTGGTGACCCTGCCCTAGCTGGCAAAGTTAAATAAACAAATAAACTCCAGAGGCCGGTTGTACGAAGGCCGGATAGCGCTATCCACCGGATAGTGATTTTTTCAAGCTTTGTTAAATCAGTCGTTGATTGGCATAACTCGTATTAAAGTTTAGTATTTATAAGTTAAATGTTTTTTATACTTCTTGTGTCGTTTGTATCCGTCGTTCACAGTTTTTCAAGCATTTTACAAAGATTGAAAAAATCACTATCCGGTGGATAGCGCTATCCGACCTTCGTACAACCGGCCCCTGGCTTAGATATCCCCATTGCCTCTGGCCTGAAACTTCAGAATTCTTAATTCCACAAAGTTTTGAAGGATACATTTTGAATTCGGAGTAACCCTCCTAGCGTTAGACAACGGACTAGCGTCTCTCCATGGCTTCCAACTTCTGGTATAATTTCATTAGGTTTGTCCTCGTAAAGTGAACTCATAAAGCTGCAACTTGCCAGGTTTTTTATCGTATATTTTTTTAAATTTGTAATTAAGGTTTTCTTTTGTTACAGTTGCTGAACTTACAGTTAAACGATTCCAACTTTCGGCGAACAGTGAGTATTAGACCATCGTTATATAAAAACGTGAAATTCATGGAAACGTGTGACCAATTATCAAATTTTACTTTCCCGTTTAGATTCTTGTACAGCTACTGATATTGTTTCAATATCTTACTGGGGAGGTGAAGTTTAAAAGGTATATAATTATTTGTGATTAATAATTCATGAAGAAAACACAAAAGAAATCATGAGCGTGGAGGAGTTTGTATATCTGATACAAAATCATGCTCATTTACATACACTTTAAGTTCAATTTTCTCACCAAATATCATTCATTTATTTTAAATTGTCGAAGAATACAAATGTACTCATCAAGACCTTTCACAAGCCATGTATACAACGTTCGCGTCTGTGTTGTATCGGATTTACAAACTCGAGCCGAAGGCGCGGTTTCAGTGCTAGGAACTGTCCGGCAGCGGATAATATCCAACATACTGTTGGCTCGGTTTGCATGAATTTGATTCCCCATCTTTGTGTAGTGCAAGTCAAAAGTTGAAGGAGAAGCAAAGTTCGTTTGTGAAAGATACAACTTCAAAAGTTTACGAGGTAACTATATGATAAAACTTACTGCTTTGTTACAGTTTGAAACTGAAATGCAACTGTGTCACGTGGCAGCTTTGGACTACTCAGGGCACCTTGCACTTATATTTAGTGACGGTTATATCTTTCAAATTGTAGTTCTGCTAAAATGCAGGATATTTATAGACATCGTTCATTGCTAAAATTTCTTGTTTCAGTTGCTGAAGGAAACACCACCTGATGGAGAAAAATTTGCAAAATATGTCGAGGTAAATTAATATAATGTAATAGGCTTCATCACAACTGCACGTTTGTATTTAGGCCACTACAAGTTAATCTTTAGTTTCTGGTCCGGCCTTACCTTCGTTTACGACGCGGGCGGGCGGGTGGTTAGGACTATAGGACATAATTACAATTGTGGCTTTGCCCACATTTTTGTGGTCTTTCTTGTCCCTTTTCATCCTAATTGTATCAAAATCTTATGAAATTTTACATAAATTGCATTTATATTATTTATAAATCGACATGTACGACAGATTACAAAGGATTTTACAT